TTTATCTTGGTGGTCTCACCTTCTCCCTCCCTCCTCCTCCTCCTCCTCCTCCTCCTTCAGCCACCAGGAATCAGGAATCAGGAATCATGACAGATGGAAGAGGGGGTATGGATGGGTGGTGGTGGGAGAGCGAAGTCACCTACGGATGCTTATCTTTGCCGCTAGTTCTGGAATTTCCCAGTCGCGACCGACGAGATCGGTCGCTACCCATTTTCATGTTGGTATCGGTCGTGAGCGATTGGCTTCAAATTCGGTCGCGACCGATCGGTCGCGACCAATCGTTCGCGATCGGTGGCGACCCGTTCGCAGATCCGTTCTCCATGGCCAGCAGAACGGGCCCCAGGGGCCGACATCAAGGAACAGCATCACCGAGACATAGAGCAGATATAAGATAGCCCGAGATCCTGGGAAGGCGGCGCACGGCGGGGAGAAGACGGTGGAGATGGACGACCGGCCCGGCAAGAAGCCCAGGCGCGAGCGGGCGGGCGGCGGAGGCGGCCCGGCCACGACGGCAAAGGCCGCGCAGAAGCGCGGCGGCGCTGGCGTGCTGGAGAAGTTCCGCCGGTCATCGGCGGTTCCAAGATTCAAGGGGACGAGAAACCACCCAGACTCCGCCAATGGGCGTGTACTAAAAACGGCCTTGGTCGTTAACTGAGCAGCCCTGCCTGCCTTCCTTGGGTGCGTTTACGAAACGGCTTCGCTTGTCGAGGTAATCATGATGGAGGTGGATGTTTTGCCCTCTAAAGATGGAGCTCTACCCGGGACGATCGGAATGGGTACGGAAAGAACAGATACAAAGACCGACATATGTTCCTGTTCCTTTTGAGCAGGACTCGCTGTCGGTGTTGCCGCGGCCTGTGTCCATTTGAGACAGAGGGCCGCCTGTCCAACAGCGGCCGCTGCTGGTATGGGACACCAGTTTGTTGCTGGGCATGGTACCCAGTTTTTTCTGTACCCATGTCAGGCGTCCAAATCGGAAGACTGGGGCCCCAGGGATGGGACAGAAGCGGACGAAACCAGGTACATCATGGTGGTTCCCGCCATCGGGGACGCTTGTCCGTCCAGGTGCCTGCGACAGCACGTTGGGTCATAAGTTTTCCAGCCGCCCTGAAGGACAGGCGTCCCCAGGAGCGGACAAGTTTGTATTTTGTACCGTGCTTCGTCCGCCAAGTGAAGGGTTTCCCAGCTGAAGCGGGGAAGCTGCACTGTCTCGGGCCATTCGTCCTCGCGGCTCTGTCCTTCATCAGGGGCAGCGTCGGCGGGCAGAGGCGCAGGGGGGAATGCATCGACCCCCACTCGCCCAGCCATCGCTGATAGGGGGGGCCCTGCTATCGGCGGCCCATCGCCGATCTATCGGCCATGCATCGCCGATTCCAGCTCGATGTGTCTCCCCCCCTGAGCTGGGCCCCCCCCCCGAACGTCGCCCCTCACTCCAGGGCTTCTTCTTTGAGCCGCCGAGGTCTGCGAAGCCCCGGTAGCGGATGCGGACGCCGTCTCGGCGCAGAGGCGGCCGAGGCGTCGCGCACCGCCCGGCGGTGCGCCTCCCTGGCTGGCGGTGCACGCCTGGCCGGCCGTGTGCGCGGGGGTAAGCGCGCGGCCGAGGTTTGGCGTGACCGAAATGGGTACGGAAAGGCTCAGTCCACGATCCTCAGGACGTGTGTCGACTGCTCGTCAGAGTGACCCTTCGCCGGAGCGACCTTTGGTGAGGGCCCCGATCGCCGAACGAGATGCGGCAGAAGCGTCTTGCGCGCTTTTGTTTGATCCTCCCGCGGCCCCCAAAAGGCCGCGCATCAAAGGGCACTCTTACCCAGTGTCACTCTTGCGGATAGTCGAGTGTGTTGGTCCAATGTGTGCTTGCCCCTCTCGCTCCGCGGATAGCCCGCCGTCTGTTGTTTCGGCCCACATCGCGCTGCCTGCGTCGTGATGAAGGGCTCGGTGGATAGGCACACGTTGGCGTTCACACACCCTCTGAGGATCGTCGAATCATGAGCGAAAGCAGAACGTGCAAACGTACATAGTTTTCATACGTGCCCAAACGTTCATGCGCGAACGATCGTAACACGAGGCTGGCCTCACGGACTGGGGGGCTGCATTCATGCATGTGGCCGGGCGCGCACGTCTGTTGTTGTCTCCCCAAAGACTGGTGACGATGACCAGCAAAAGTTCTTGTCCGCTTGGAAGAGGATTCGCTGTCAGCGTCGCCGCGGAGACAGAGCGAGTTTCCATGTGAGACAGAAGGCCGCCTGCCCAACAGCGGCCGCTGCTGGTTTCGGACAGCTTTTGTGGTCGGGCATCGTACCCATTTTTCCGTACACATTCCGCGCGTCCAAAGAGGTCGCGCTTCCCACGCCAGTCGTCGGGGCGATATGATCGGCGGAAGAAGCAATCTCTGCATGATCACAAGCTTTTCGAAATTCCGCGCACTTGGCCTGGATCGGCTCAGGACCACCCGCCCTGGCGCGCGGCGCGCGGCAGGAGCGGCGCCGGAGGCACCGTTACGGTGGTCCAGGGCAGATCCAAGAAGTCCATGCGGAGCTCCGAATGAATATGTTTATGCAGTGCTTCCTTCTTCTATGCATGGCCGCTGCTTCCCAAGAGGTGCGAGCTTGTGTTCCGCGCCTCGTGGCCGCTCTGCTTCCGCTGAGGCTCTCTGCGCCCTTCGATAGGGGCGGCGTTCCTCCAAGAGCGCGGGCAGGCGGCGACTGGAAAAATAGATGGCAGCACTTGAGCAGCAAGCGCCCCAGCAGCAGCGGCAGTTACAGGCTCATCACCAACCCCAGCTACCTTACAGCAAGAACGACAGCAATAGATCAAGCGAAGCTACCACCAGCCAGAGCACCACATCAATGCAAATACGTAGGAGACACCATCGCCATCGCGGTCTCCTTTCGGAGGACCCCTCGCGGCGCAAAAGATTGCGCCATGTGGCCGTACTGCTCACCGTCAACGAACACGTAGCCATTGTTTGATCATTGCGGTGCGTCACAATCCTGATTCATGCTTGAGCTCTGCCTGTGCACTTCGCGCTAACCGCCAGAAACCTACACACTTGCGTCTTGGCAGGCCGTTGGGCGCTCTTGGGGCCGTCGTGGAGCTCCTCTGCGCCCCTTCGCAGGACCCTCCCGGGCAATCTTGGAGCCATCTTGGGGCCTGAGAAGCACGTTGGTCGCGACAGGCAGAAGCCTGTACTGCGAAAACTTCTGAACTGACGCTGGCCTCCTGGGAGTACCGTTGGGAAGCTCCGTGGCTCCGTGCCCACTCGAGCCGGTCTCGTGGCGGTCAGCCGTTCTGTGGCACTCTGGGAGCTCCGTCGGAGGCATGTGTGAAGCGTTCTTGAGTTATCTTGTGCTATTTTGGAGGCAGTCGTGGGTTTTAGGAGGCCGTCTTGGAATCATCTGCGCCCAACAGCCTCCCACCGATGCCCCCGAAAAGCCCAAACCCTTTAAACACAGAGATTGCCCACCATACTCAACGATGAGGTTATTGTTACTAGTGTGACGAGTCCACCTCTTCACCTCCCGCTTCCCTCGCATATTCTTGTCACCTCCTACGGAGTCCCACTCATATTCAGACCCCCTCACACCCAGACTCACTCACACGCAAACTCATACTCATATATTCTCGCACTAAGGTTCATTGATGCTCATACTCTCACTTCGATCGACTGGTACTTAGACTTGCTCAAATTCAGACTCGTTCATCCATAGACCATTATCACCCATCTTGACTCCAACTTGGCCAAGTCATACTCTGACCCGTACACACATACCACTATACCTCGCCCAACATGATCATTCACACTCGCAGCACGACCACCGCGGTGTAGTAGGCGTCACACTTGGGCACCGCAAGGTGGGGGAGGGTATCCGCCAGGTGGTATGACGCTGGCCTGTTTGCGCCCTGACTGTGGGGATGTCTCAGGTGGCCTGCCTGCCTCGGCGCGTCGGGCTCCTACTTCTGGAGATCCCAGTGATTACCGCGACAGGACAGGCGTGGCGTCTGGGCACGCCACTCGTGAGGCGCCAGGGGGTGTGACAGTCGCACGTTCGCGCCCAGACTGGGGGGATGTCACAGGCGGTTTGCCGCTTTGGGCGCCCCCGATTTTTTTCTGAGGGCCCCATGATCACACGGCACAGCTGGCGTGGCACTGGGGCAGCCTAAGGGGGAGCCGTCAGGGCAGGGGGAACTTGTGCGTTGGCGCCAAGACCGTGGGGATGTCTCGGCCAGTGCGCCTCCCTGGTCACCGCGATCTCGCAGGCGTAGCGTTCGGGTACCGCAAGTGGGGGCCGACATTGGTGTACCACGGGACCAGTTGCGCCCAGATTCTGGTGATTTCTGACGAGAGATTCGCCCGTTTCGGCTCCTCGTGCTGTTCTCCTGTGACTTTGCATCGCTCGGACATGTGCATTTTTCCTTCTGCGAGGACCATCGAGGAGCATCCTTGATCATTTGGCGAAAAAAAGACACGCACGAACACGAAAAACACAGGGAATGGACGTCCGAGCGATGCCCAGGTGAGAGCACCATGACCACCGCGATGTCGCAGGCATGGCAATTGAGCACCCACAAGGGTGAACCGACAGGGGGGTGCCTAAGCCCATCTGGCCTCTGGCGGGCCGGGGCCGTGAACGATCATCCGTTCGGCCTGATCGTTCGATCGCGCCGATCGGCTCACGCCAATCGTGATCGGCCGCCCGCGGGGCTGGGCTCGCGCGCCGCGGCGGGTCGGCGATAGCCGACGCCGCAGCCGCGACCCTGCGCCTGGCTGCGCGCCCGCTGGCGCGCCACGTGGGGCCAGACGCCTCTGGAGCCCGCCTGGCACAGGCGGGAGAGGGCACGCCGCTCCTCGGCGAGGGCCCTGCTGCGCGTGGTGGAGGCGGCCAACGTCCTCAACAGCCACCACTCAGCGCAGCAGCCCCAGCGCCAGCAGCAGCACCAGCGCAGCCGCAGCAGCAGCGAGATGACGACGAAGGCGCAGCAGCAGCACCAGCGCAGGCGCAGCAGCAGCGCCAGAGACTGGTCAGGAGACATCGGAGCCATCGGAGGGCGACCCTGGGAGTGGGCCCGCGATGACAGCCAGCACCACCAGCGCCAGCGCAACGGATACCAGCAGCACAATGCACAGAGGCAGCAGCACAGCCAGCAGCAGCAGCAGCAGCAGCCTCAGACCCACAAGCACCACCACCAGCCAGCCCAACACCAGCACCAGCAAAAGCACCCACAGCACCAGCAGCGAAGCGACAGCGACCAGCACTGGAAGCACAGTGCACCATGGAGGAGCGCCTCAGCCAGAAGGAGAAGCAGCAGGCGCAAAAGAAGGGACCAGCTCGACACTCCAGCCTCAGCCTACATCGGCAGCTTCCAGTACAGCCCCCAGCAAAAGGCAGTCCTGGACAGCATCACGCCAGTCTCCTTCGCCGTCGCGATGGAGCACGAGAGCTGGTCCGCACCACCAGACGACGAGGAGATGAGGTTCGTGTGGTACAAGACGAAGTGCCACAGGCTGGGTCGCCTCTCCGAGAACATCGCTGGCGCTAGGCTGGCGGGCTTGTGCACAACCAGCCTCGAGCAGGAAGCGGCGATCACCGCCGCGAACATCTCCTTCGTCCTGCCCCACAAAGAGCGCATGAAGCAGCTCAGGGCTACGCTGGAAAAGCTGGAGGAGGAGCATGCCGAGATGGAGAAGCGGCTCAGCAAGATGCTCGACCAGGAGGCGACGGCCGCCAGAACCATCAGGGCCTACAAGACACTGATGAGGGAAACCAGAGATCAAATGGCAAAGCCGGCGGGCGTAAAGGAGGAATCTTCAGAGGAAGAGGGGGGCCATGACCCCACCAGAGGACGCACGCCACACCCGGCCGCGAGGAGGAGGCGCGATCCAACTGCAGCTCCAGCGGCACCAGCCACAGCCCAGCCAGCCACAGCTCAGCCAGCCTCAGCAGCTCAGCAGCCACGACCAGCCCCAGCAGCACCAGACGAGATCAAAGACGCCATCAGGAGACTGACCGAGAGGCTCGACTCGCAGCAGAAAAAGGAACAGCAGCAAAGCGACCTGCTGGCACAAGCAGAGCTCAAGCATAAAAGCGAGCTGAAGGCCTACGAGCAGACCATGGCGCAAAAGATGTACCACACGACCGAAGTGCAGCTAGCCAAGCAGGAGGAGTGGCACACATGGGAGGTTAACGCGCTCAAGCGGCACCACAACGCCAAGCTGGAGGAGGAGGAAGCGAAAGCATACGAAGCACAAAGAGGCACCCAGAGGACGCAGGAGGAAAGGGCCAAAGGGATGCTCGCGGACTTGCAAATGCATATTGAGTTGGAAAAGAAGACACTACGCGAGGAGATGCACAAGGAAGACCAGATAAGAGCAGCCATCTACACGCAGCAGGTCCAGAAGGCCAGGCAGGAAGAGCAAGCTGTGAGACAGATGGCGGCTCAGGAGGCCCAGTGGTTCAAGATGGCGCAGGGGCACAACGAAAAGGCGACGCAGGAGATGGCGGAGGCGGAGTACCAGGAGAGATGCGCCCGTCGCAGCGCTTACAAGGATGAGGAGCTGCGGATCGCAGTGAACTACCAGCAGATGGCCTACGAGCACCAGGAAGAAGCCAACAGGCGCGAAGCGATGCGGGTCGTCCTGAACCTGGAGCACGCAGCCATCCAGGCGAAGGCATACGAGATGCAACACGAGCAGGAAAAGTACCTGGAGCGCGTCGGGGAGCACCAGGAGGCGGTGGACAAAGCCCAAAGGCTGGAGGAGGTGGCGCTGCAGCGACAAGCAGCGGCCACAAGCGAGCTCCAGGCACTACAGCATCAGCAGGAGATGGAGAACCAAGTGGCGCAGCAGTACCACAGCACTCTGCAGCACCAGCACCAGCAGGAGATGCAGGCCGTGGCGCAGCACTACGCCCACAACCAGTACATGAGCGACGCACAGAGGCAGCAACAACTACAAGACCTCCAACGCGCGCATGATTTGCAAACGGCAGGACTCCAGAACGCACTACGGGACGCCTGGGGAGCAGGGGGACATGTGGACGAGGACCTGCTACTCGACATGACGGACGACCTCATGGAAGACCCAGTCACGAGTGAGCGAGACCAAGACATGGCGGAGCAGGAGGGCGCGTACCAGAGGGAGCAACTGGAGGCAGACTTACTTCGACTACTACCTAGCCAGTACGAACTTCCACACCCAGAACCACCGCCGTACCTCGAGGAGCTGGCCGAGGTGGGATTTGGAGAGAGGTCCCATACATCGTCGATGCCAACGCCAGAGGAGCCTACCCTCTCGTCGTGCGACGACCTCAGCTTCCAGGACCAAAGCCTCGTGCCGAGGACATCCGCCGAAGAGTGTCCGCTACCTCCACCACCACCTCAGCAGCGCCCGCACATCGAGGAGCACAACAGCGTCGGCACATTCTCGCACTCGGGGCTGCTCGACGTACGGGCGAGCAGCGACTGCATCCCAATTGGCGAATCCGACGACGCCGACCTGCAGGACGAAGAGACGAAGATCCGCCAAGGCCTGCGCAAGGAGAAGGAGGACGAAGCCCCGACAGACCTCGCCTCACTCTCACCAACGATACCAGCCGACTCACCCATCCCGACAGAACAGCCCACGCCAAGACACATACTTTTTCCGCCCGTCACGCCTCTCACGCCAAAC